TAAGAAAATCTAAAATCTAAAGTACTTTAAATGGGATTTTTGAGAAGGGGAAAATGTACGGACGTCATTGTGTTCTCAGAACAGGAGAAGTGACATCGCACAAAGAACGCGTCACTATAACACCCGAGGGGAGAGAGGATTCATTCCCATGGAAAGTGTCGAAGGTAAGGTACGTTTTAAGCGCTTCGTCTTTACGTCTCAGATTCCCTCTTCTCACATTGCTCAAGATGGAGACACGGTACTGCACTCTCCCTCACGAGATTTCCCGAAGCTAAGAATGTCTCTCGGACATGCATGACTTGGCGTTAAGAGCATATTGACAATTTCCCATCGTGCGCATACGCTTCAGATGATAGGAAAGTAAGCAGGCAAAAAAAAAAAAAAAAAAAAAAAAAATAAATAAATAAAATAAATAAAATAAAATAAATAAATAAATAAATGCAGGTTCCCCATACCCCTTCAAGAGTCCATAACGGCAGATCAATGATGTGTGTGTGGGAGGGGGGATTCCAACACCTACAGAGGGCAACAGTGATGCCATCGCCCACAGCAACAGCAGGGGTAGAAACCCCACCAACTCCGGCACCAACAGATAGAAACCCCACCAACTCCGGCACCAACAGATAGAAACCCCACCAACTCCGGCACCAACAGATAGAAACCCCACCAACTCCGGCACCAACAGGTAGAAACCCCACCAACTCCGGCAGCACCAACAGATAGAAACCCCACCAACTCCGACACCAACAGATAGAAACCCCGCCAACTCCGGCACCAACAGATAGAAACCTCATCAACTCCGGCACCATTTAATATCTCTTTTTCAGATTGAATATCTTCATTTTTTATCAGATTTATTATATTCAAATTTATTATCAAATGTATTATCTTCACTCTGAGGATGTTGATGTTTGTTGCAATCAAGAAATCAAAAAAACTAGTGCTTGTTGTACTGATATTGCGGGTTATAAAATATAGAATAACACTGGTTATATAATCTTTATAGACACTGGTCCTGCCTTTGATATGATTACTGATATATAAAAATAATCCGACCAGAGCTCTTCACACATGTAAAATGAATGTTTGAGTGATAGCCCTTTGCGAAAGAGATAGATGGATAGATGCTTTGGTATTTTATCCTTTTTGCAAGGCATATACACTTCTGTAAATACACACACACACAAATATATATATATATATATATATATATATATATATATATATATATATATATATATATATTATGTATATCTTTCTTTCTTTCTCTCTCTCTCTTTCTGTCTCTCTCTCTCTCTTTCTCTCTCTCTCTCTCTCTCTCTCTCTCTCTCTCTCTCTCTCTGTCTATCTATCGATCTATGTATCTATCTATCCCCCTAAACAGACAGACAGACAAACAGATACTTATAAACAAAAAAACTCACGTACCTAAGTCCATCCGCACGTGTGATTTCTAACGCACATAAATGCTTACATCCGACACTATTTTCATATTCAGCCTTTCATCTTTCCGTCTGGCACTTGTTAGGTCTCCACGGTCTCCTCATTAGGTATAATTAGCTCACAAGAGATGCTGATGAACTTTGAACCGTAAAAAAATGAAGGGAAAAAATACACGCATTGGCACACTCTTTCTTTCCTCTTGGCTAGATAGAAAACGGGAAGGAAAAAAGAAAACGGGAGGGAGAGAAAGAATACGGAAGGGGAGAGAGAAAATGGGAAGGGAAAAAGAAAACAGGAGTGGAAAGAAAACGGGAGGGTGAAAAGAAAACGGGAGGGGAAACAAATCGAGAGGGTAAAACGAAAACGGGAGGAGAAAAAGAAAACGGAGGGAAAAAAGAAAACGGAAGGGGAAAAGGAAAACGGATAAGAGAAAAGAAAACGAGTGAAAAATAAAACCAGTGAGAAAAGAAAACGGAAGGGGAAAAGGAAAACGGATAAGAGAAAAGAAAACGAGTGAAAAATAAAACCAGTGAGAAAAGAAAACGTGAGACCAAAGAGAAAACGAGAAAGAAAAAAAAAATCGAGAAATGCAAGGAAAACTAGCGAACAAAAAGAAAACGAGACAAAAAATAAATAAAATAAGACAAGACAAGAAACATAGATGATCATAGAGAATAGAGAATACGATTTTCTGTTCGGTTTTGATTAATCTTAAATTATAATGAAGTTGGGAAACTGATTTAGTGAAAGAACTGGAGAGAGAGAGAGAGAGAGAGAGAGAGAGAGAGAGAGAGAGAGAGAGAGAGAGAGAGAGAGAGAGAGAGAGAGAGAGAGAGAGAGAGAGAGAGAGAAGGAGGGAGGGAGAGAGGAAGGAGAGAGAAAAGACAGAAAGAGACAGGCAAACAGAGAAAGAGAGAGAGAGAGAGAGAGAGAGAGAGAAGAGAGAAGAGAGAAGAGACAGAGAGAGACAGACAGAGACAGATAGACAAGATACAAACAAGCATTCACACACCATCAAACAAACCAAACAAACAAAAAACACAGCATTTGAAACTCC